GTGTACTAAAAATAATAAGAATACGAAGACGAATAATCATAATACTAATACTAAAACGAATAAACATACTAATACTCATGCGAATGCTAATACGAATGCTGATACTACTAAGCATGCTACGAAGAGAAGGAGGATGACTAATAATAATACTGATAACACGACGACGGATAATACTAAGACTAATGTTGCAACTTGTGGTAAGACAGCTACGAATACTATGACTCATGATATTAATACTACAAGCAATACGACTAAGCATTCTATCGACAAGACGACTAAGAAAACGAAACGAGCAATACTAATACAACACTACGTATAATGCTTTTGCGACTGCTACTGCTGATGAGAATGCAACTCACAATACTCATACTACTAAACAGAATAAACATGCAAATAATACGAATTGCCACACTGCCACTACTTTGTATACTAAGAATGCAACTAATGATGATACTGACACTGCTATCATTATAAATAATAAGGTTGGACAATAGAGGTATTACTATTATTATACAACAATAGTAATACGAATACGATAAACTAATCATATTAGTACTTATAATATTGGAGGTGGAGGGGGGGGAGGAGGAGGAGGAGGAGGAGGAGGAGGAGGAGGAGGAGGAGGAGGAAATGGAGGAGGATGAGGATCAGGAGGGGGAGGAGGAGGAGGGGAGGAGGAGGAGGGGAGGAGGAGGAGGAGGAGGAGGAGGATAGGAGGACGAGGAGGGGGAGGAGGGAGGAGGAGGAGGAGAGGAGGAGGAGGAGGCGGAGGAGGAGGAGGAGGAGGAGGAGGAGAGGAGGAGGAGGGAGGAGGGAGAGGAGGAGGAGGAGGAGGAGAGCAGGAGCAGGAGCAGGAGGAGGAGGAGGAGGAGGAGGAGGAGGGGAGGAGGAGGGGGAGGTGGAGGTGGAGGAGGAGGACGAGGAGGAGGAGGACGAGGAGGAGGACGTGTGCGGGCTTCTCGGCCAAACGCAGTGCTCAGAGGCACGACGGCGGCCGCCCAGCCGCTTTCCACCTGGAGTCCCTTCAGGGATCTCGGGCATGTTGCTGCCTCCTCGGCTCGCCAGCGGCTGGGCTCTTGCACCGCCGAGGGCGGGCGCTGCGGCCAGCTCCCCGCCTGGGCCGACGCCGTGCCCCGCCGCCTGGGCCGCTCCCAAGTCGCCACAGCTCCCGGAGGCCCACTGGCGGGCCCGCGGCGTATCGCGCGAAGGGGCCTGCTGGCCGCCCCTGCGCTCCGCAGAGGGGGGCCACCTGCACAGCACCTCCGCGAGCGGCCAGGCCCTGAGGTCCACGCGTAAGATCGGGACGATCGACATGAGTGCCGCCAACAAAAAGAGGGTCGTCCTCGCCGACATTGGCGCGTAAGCTGCCCGCGTAAGGTCGCGCGTAAGAGCCCTCGCTTCCAGCGCGGCGTGCCGCGCTGGCGGCCCGCGTAAGCCGCCGCGTAAGGTCGCTGTGGCATCCCGCGTAAGACCCGTTGTTGGTCGTCGCTCACATGGGTACGGAAAGAATGGGCACAAAGACCGACAGAATTTCCTGTTCATTTTGGGCAGGACTCGCTGTTGGTGTCGACGCGGACGTTGCCCATTCGAAACAGAAAGGGCCGCCTGCCCAACAGCGGCCGCTGTGTCGGTATTGGACAGCATTAGAGGCTGGGCATCGTACCCGTTTCTTCCGTATCCGTTTTGTGCGTCCGAATAAGAGTGACCCTTAGCCGGAGTGATTTTTGGTGTGGGCCCGCAGGGGTCGACCAGGGCTAGGATAGTAATCAACGCGTTCCAGGGCGTTCCGGAACGCTCTTAGAGCTTTCTGGAACGCTCCGAGAAGGCGCCCGATACATCCTCCAGAACCTTGGTATCTCAGAGATTCTCGATTTTTCTTGTCCGATGCTGTCCCTGTCTTGGCTTCCTCTTAAGGGCCGTTCTTTCTTCTCATCTCGCATGCGGCGCGCTCGTTGCCCTTCCAGGCCTCGGCTCAGGGCATGAGTTTGCCTGTCACAGGTCGGCACTTTCGGTTTTCCCAGTCCGCCTGGCGACTTCTGCACTCGCACAGCGGTCGAGGCCAAACTAGGTGAAGCTCTGTGGCCGTGCTCCCTCCTCCTGTCAGCAACAAACCCTTCAGGGGGGGGACAGAAAAGAAACAGACACAACTAGTCGTCGACTCCCAGCAAAACATGGGAAACCATGGGCACTGGGGGGGAAGACGACCCCCCCCGAAATATGGGGAGCATTGGGGAATGCTGGTATGTTTGTCTATTTACTTGCGTGCCCCTGGGCCCCTCTGTGCGGGTGGCAGGAGGTGGGCAGACGCCCAGCCCGGTCCAAGGCCGGGAGCACCGAGGGATGGGGGCGAACAGCGCCGCGGCCACGGCCGTCAGAGAGAGCGCGTCGAACCCTCCTCCTCCTCCTCCTCCTCCTGCTCCTCCTCCTGCTCCTCCTCCTCCTCCTGCTCCTCCTCCTCCTCCTCCATCTCCTCCTCCTCCTGCTCCTCCTCCTCCTCCTTCTCCTCCTCCTCCTCCTCCTGCTCCTGCTCGACCAGTCGGGCTGCTCCTGACAGCCATCCCCGCGGACCGTGCTCTGGCGGCTCAGGCGCAAAAGCGTCGCGGCATGGTGCGCTATGTCGTCGTGGCACAGCTCGCAGGCGAAGGCATCGCAGCCATCGTCAAGCCGCGGGGGCGGCCCCTCTCAGGGGAGGAGCCACGAGGAAAGCAGATGCGACAAAGCCTGCTTCGCATCGTCTCGAGGATCTCCTCCACGGACTTACCCGCCTCAATGTCAATGTCCGCCATTCGCCGCTGTCGCCATAAGCGGTATGCTGTTATGATACTGCTGACGCTGACGACGGTGTCAGTGTTGATGAGGCTGGTGGTGAAATAAGGGAGAATGGCTAGGATGATGGCGGCGACGCGTGTGACACTTAGGATGACGCGGACGACGATCAGAGAGATGGGGGTGGTGATGGTGGTAGTGATGGGTGGTTGGCTATAACTGGCTGAGCATTATGACATAGCAAGCGGCTTTGATGATTATGACGAGGGTGATGCTGATGCGGGTGAACTGATATATATATACACACGGCGAGAGGGTGCCAGTGGTCACGATGATGTTCACGATTACGATGATGAATTTGATGATGAAGATGAATCTGATGATGAGGACGATGCTGATGATGATTATGATGATGGGGATGATGATGAGGATGCTGATGATGATGATTGTGATGGTGATGGCGACGTTGATGGTGGTGGTGGTGGTGGTGTTGACGATCATGATGATGATGATGACGATGGCGATGATGAGGATGCTGATGATGGTGATGGTGATGATGCTGCTGCTGATGATGCCAGATGGTGCTGATATTGTTGATGCTGTTGCTGCGGATGTTGCTGATGGTAATTGTGGTGATGATGTTGCTGCTGATGGTGATGCGCATTATTATGACGATGATGATGGTGATGCTGCTGATGTTGGCCATGATCATGATGGTGACAATGATGACGATGATGCTGCTGCTGATGATGATGATGATGCTCATGATGATGATGATACTGCTGATGATGACGATGCTGATGATGACGATGATGATGACGATGATGACGACGATGATTATTCTCATGATGCTGATGATGCTGCTGATGATGATGACGATGATGATGATGATGATGATGATGATGCGGATGATGATGATGATGATGATGATGATGATGATGATGATGATGATGATGACGATTATGACGATGATGATGATGATGATGCTGATGGTGATGATGATGATGATGATGATAATGATGATGATGATGATGATGATGATGATGATGATGATGATGATGATGATGATGATGATGATGATGATGCTGATGATGATGATGATGATTATGATGACGCTGGTGCTGCTGCTGCTGCTGCTGACGACGATGACGACTATCATCAAGATGACGCTGGTGATGGTGATTGTCTTGGTGGTAGTAACGGTTGTGGTGATGATGATTACGACGACGGTGGTGGTCATGATTGGTGGTGGTGGTGATGATGTTGAGAATTATGCCTTTGATGGTGTACCCGTCTCGCGCGATAGAGGCTGCCGCATATGTTGAGCTGATGCCTTGGGATGCCCCTTGGGTGTGCTGGCGCTCCGTCGTCCGCTGGTGGAGAGTTTGGATTTTGGGAGGGGGAGCGGGAGGACGAGGAGGAGGAGGAGGCGGAGTATGAAGAGGCGCGGGAGTAGGAGGAGGAGGAGGAGGAGGAGGAGGAGGAGGAGGAGGAGGAGGAGGAGGAGGAGGAGGAGATGAGGAGGAGGAGGCGGGGGAGTAGGAGGAGGCAGAGGAGGCGGAGGAGGAGGAGTCAGAGGAGGAGGAAGAGGAGGAGGAGGAGGAGAAGTTGGGGGAGTAGGAGGGGGAGGAGGCGGAGGAGGAGGAGCAGGCGGTATCTCCGACAAGCAGAAGGCGGCCCTGGAGAGGCTCAGGAGCGGCCCCGCGGCGCTTGCCCCCTCCGAGAGTGCGCCCGGCCGCGGAAGTGCTGGCGAAGCCTCCGCTGGGAACGCGCCCTTACTTGGCTCGAGGCGGGCCCTTCCACTTCCTCAGCTACACGTCGGAGGAGGAACAGGTACCCATACCGCTACTCTTCCCTCGTATTCTTTTTCTTGGGCCTCCTTGAAGGCCCTCGTCGCCACCGATGGATTCGCCTCGAAATCTTGGTCAGAACGCACCCCCAGAGAGGTCCGGGGAGTAGCGGTATCGGTACCTTTTGGTATCCCCAATACGAAAGAGTGACCCGTCTAGAGTTGAGGCAAACGTGAATTGAGTCGCGCGGATGAGCGACGGGTCCCGTGTCCTTTCGAAATCGGAGCGACCCGCCGAAAAGGTAGGCGACGCTGGTTTTGCGCCTGATCCTCTGATCCGTGTTAGTGCACGCCCGCCTTTTGCCCCAGAGTGACGATCCGTGCGGGCACTTTGGGGCCCCCGGACGGCTGCCTGCGATGCGCTGGTGGCGGCCGGCGTGCTCCTGTTCGGCCTCCCCCGCGGCCCCCGAAAGTCGCGCGCCGGAGGTCACTCTTTGCCTGGGGGTCACTCTGACGTGTAGCCGGTGTCCCCTCTCCTCGTGCTGCCCCCCTTCCCTCGCTGCCTGCGGCCTCCCCGCTGGTCGGATCCATCGCGGCATATTTCCCAAGTGCTGGGCTCTAGCCTCTAGCCTTCCTCGCTGCGTGCTGGCGGAATCTCTTGAACGTCCCTCTCCCCCATGCCTCTTCGCCCTTTTGTGAAAACCATCGTCTCTCCGTCCGTGTAGCTGGATCTGTGTAGGACGAGTGTCGTGGCATCGCTCGCATGCGCATTTTTCGTTTGTTTGTTTGTTTTTGTTTTTGTCCGGCGAGAACCATCGAGTACCATCCTGGATCCCCTGGCAAAAAAAAACACGCGCGAACCTGATCAATGCAAAATGGACGTCCGAGCGATGGCAAGGTTTGCGCGGTACCACGGTGAAAGCTTCCACTGACCTGGCGTCCATCCGTGTATGTGTCGGTACTGTCTTTTTTGTATCGTGTAAATGATGAGATGACGTTTCAGAGGCTGATGCGTGCAATCGCCCAGGGTCCGAGGCCGTTCCCCATCTGAATTCGGGCGGCTTTCTCATGTTACCGCATCTGGCCTGGGCCGGGTGCTCGTGCGCAGCTGCTGATCATCCGGTGTTCGGTGGCGAGGTCCGTGAAGGCGATCCGGGCTGCGCGCCGATGCATCTTGATCTCGCTGCAGGCTGGACCGCCAGACTCCCTCAGCCACCTGGCGCATTTCATTTTTTGTCACTTTCCTCACGGAAGCCTTGAATTAGATGAGCAGCTGGACGCTCTTAGTGCAGTATTACCACCAGCCCGAGGGAAACGGGATACTTACGTCGTTGCCGGGGACCTCAATATCGACTTCCTCCGTGCCGCTGAACACCGTCATCTTGCACCAGCCTCCCATCCCACACCTTCCCGACGCGATTCCCAAAGGCTCACTAGCTTCAGACTCTGGCTCGAGACGGTCGGCCTCGTGGAGGCCGTCCCGGCGAAAGCCCACAGCCTGCCCGACCACATCCGTGCGCAAGGGTACACGGTGGCCAGCTGGCTGCCGATTGGGGACCAGGAGCTCTTCCAGTTCCCCTCGTTGATAGATGCATGTGCGCATTCACCACGTCTTCGTTTCAAAGTTTACCTTCAGTGGGCTGTGGCCGTGGCGGACCACGCGGCGCTGGTCATCGACACAGCATTGCCAGTATTCACCCGCGCCCGCCGCCAGCAGCAGGTGTGGAGATGTTCGGACGAGCGTGGCTTCATGAATTTCTTTGCGGCGAGATGCCCAAAGTCGTTCCGGGACCACTCCGAGCTCCTGGCCAAGATCCGGGTGGCCATGGGGGCATACCAGGACACGACCTCTCGGAAGCAGCGACGCGCTGACCGGGAGCCTTTCGCCATCAAAGCTCTCCGGCGGAGGGTTCGCGAGGCCCCAGACGCCGCGAGCCGGGGCGCTCGGCAGCGCGAGCTCTGGCACACCCTGCGGCGGCACCGCGCCCAAAGGAAACTCGCCCATCAGCGCCTGCGGGTCTCCTCTGGCGGCGTAGTGGCATCCTCCAAGGCCCTCTCTGTGGTCGAGGCCCTGCGGCTTGGGCCAGTTGCAAGCCCGCGCGTCGAGGTCGACCCGGCGGTCTGCCGTGAAGAGGCGCTGCGGTATTTGATGGGCTGCCGTGGAGAGGGTCTACCAGAAGTGGGCTGCCGATGGTGATCCAGACTCGGAGGCGGCGGTCGCTGCCCGGGCCTTCGTTGACGCTGAGTGGCCCGCCGTGGCCCCGTCCATGGACCAGTGGGCGGACGCCGTCAGCAATATGAAGAGCAAGGCCGTGTTCGATGGGTACGGCGTGGCCGTGCTGGCGTTCCAGCTTGCGTTTCGTGCCAGGCCGAGGCCGATCGCAAGGGTTCTGACAGACCTGCTCAATTCTTCGCCCCTCCTGGCAACGGTGCAGATACAAGGCGTGCTCAAGTCGAAGACCACAGGGGCCCCGACCCTCAGCGACCTTCGAGCCCTGCTGCCGCAGCCGGTCATCCTGCAGCCGTTGCACCTACTGCTGATAGACATGGCCGGGCCGCTTGTGGAGAGCATTGCCGACGATTTCGGAGTCTCGGACAGAGCCCTGGGGAACTCCAAAGGCCGACAGTGCCTCGACGTGGTGTTCCCGCTGCAGCTCGGCACAGAAGCCGCGGCGGATCCATCCACCGAACACACAGTGATTGCATATGACATCAAGGCATATTGTGACAATGTGGAGCCTCTGCGCGTGGCCACATGTTTGACCTCTTGGGGCGCTGACGTCGCTGCGGGAGCCGCGCTCGCCATGCTTCATCTGTGCCCAGACGTGTGCCTTGCCATCATGGGCCGGGTCGGTGGGCAGGCGGACGAGAGGCCCCCTGACTGGCAGCAAGAGCGCAGGCATGTGCTCCCGTGTCCCCGTTGTGCACGTGTTGGGGGATACCAACGCCATTTCGGAGAGGCTCTCCGCCACCCTCGGCCCGCCTGCCGCGCTGGTGCAGGTTCTGCCGGCTTTCTGGGCAGACAACTGCTACGCCGCCGGCGCGGCCCCTCAGCAAGCCATAGAACTGATGCGAGCCGTCGGATCGAGCTTGCAGCGGCATTGGAACCTGGAGCTGAAGCCCTCCCTCCTCCCGCGAGATTTCAGTCCATTCGTCCTTGCTGAGCTCACCGAGCGCGAAGCAGCTCGGCGAGTGGGAGGTGAGGACAGACTGCCTGGATGCTCTTGGCTTCACGATCCACGTCGACGGGTCGCACCGCGCCATGCTCGACGCTGCCGCGGCGAAGGCGTGGAAGAGTTTCTGGAGGCAGAGGATGCGCAGTGCCGGCCGGTTCCCCGTGCGGCTGGCTATGCGGAACATGGCCCGGGCAGTGTGGGCGGGCCTCCGGCACCGCCTCTCACCGATAGCGCCCGCGCCGACCTTGCGGAAGCGTTTGGACTCAGCACAGCGGAAGATGGTCGGCATGCTGCACGGGCCTATTCGCGCGCCCCCGGGAGAGCAGCCGGCCCCCGCGGAGGCAGCGGCGGCATACCACGAGGGCACAAGGGCATAAGCAAGCTGATCTCCGAGCACGGTGGCCCGTGGGGCGAGCAGTGGCAGGCCTTGGCCAGGACATGGCGCGCCCATCTCCAGAGACACTGGCGCGCGCCTGCCGCCAGGGCGCTCGCAGCAGCTGACGGGCTGGCTACTGCTCGCTTCATCGCCCTGACGGAGAACTTCCTCCGCGGTAGGTGGACAGGGCGCCTCGGCGCACGGCGGGTGAGAGGGGGGCCCATCCGTTGGGTAGAGCATGCGTGGTGCGTGTGGATGTGCATTGTATGCCAGTGTGCTTGTGTGTTGGCAGCTTCCTGTGGGCTGCCCTCAGCGGCGCCGAATAATACTAGTACGTGATGAGCAAATCTCGCATTATCAGGAGGTGGCATGCGCAGGATGAGGATGAGGATGAAGATGAACATGCTGATCATGATGATGCTGATGCTGATGCTGATGCTGATGATGATGCTGCTGATGATGATGATGATGTTGATGCTGCTGCTGATGATGGCGAGGTTGGATGAGGGAAGACGACGATGACGATGACGGCGGGCGCGGCACTGACGATGGCGATGGCAAGCATGTTGGCCATGATAATGACGGTGACGATGTTGAGGGTGGTGGTTGTGATTCTGACGACGATAGCGATACCGATGACGACGATGACGACAATGTTGCTCGTGGTGATGGTGCTGACGGTGACGCTAATGACGACGGTGGTAGGTGCAATCTCTCTACGTATAATATTGTTTGTGTCCTCCCTCACTTCTGTCCCGTGTGCCCCTGTCTGTGCTTTGCTGCTCCTATCCTGTCTCACCGACGCTCCTTCGGCCCTCTCAGGGCCCTTGGACTCGCTGGCGCGAGACGCCCGCCGTGCGCGCTCAGTGAAGATACAACATATCGTCGTGCCTGTGAATCGGGGCCAGCTCCACTACATTTACACATTCAATCACGTTCAGTGACTTCTTCTCATGGATTTGGTAGCGGAAAGCGGCTTTCTCTCGGACGTGCCAGTGTCTCAACGAGTTTCTGACCCCGGGCGCTCAGCATTCGGGAGGGATCTCATCGGTGCTCAGGGAGGGCCCATAGAGGATTTCGATGATCGCGATGAGCTTGCCGACGGAAGCCTAACTATGATGGACAGGTCGGGCAAGCATCAGGTAAAAACAGAGAAGGCCGCGGCAGCGGGCGTTGTGACAACCTTCCGCCGCAGCTGGAGTTCAACGGCGGCGCGGAGGATCCCAAAGTGTTCAAGTGATACAAGGCTCAGGTGGAGAACTGGGTTTCGGTCGCCAAGGACATCGTTGGACCAGAGGAGATGATGCCACGTTTGCATGCGGCGCTGGAGGATACGTCTTCCGATCAATTGACGAGGGCCCGACGACATTTGGAGGAGTTGGCGTGATCTATCAAATCCTCGCGGTGCAAACCTGAGCGGCGATGTGCGAGTTCTTTCACGCTGCAGGCCAGAGCGATGGAGCCCGACATTCCCGACCGATAATCATCGGGCAGTTCATGAAGAGCCCGCAGCTGGATGCCAATGCCCTGGCTACGCTGTTGATGGCGGCTGGCTCGTGCGAGGGGGGACCTCTCAAATAGCAGGCCGCGGTCCTTGCAAGCTCCTGGCAGACTTCATGCCCGACAATTGGCTGCGGATTGTAAGTCGGTGCGTGATCTAGCTATTACAATTGGGGGGCCCTCGACTGCGCTGCAGCATCGCCTCAGTTTCGATATTGAAACTATATGCGCGCTTTGCCGAGGACTCTGATGACGAGAACCACAGACCGACAGGGTTGTGGTTCCCGCCGACCGCCACATAGCCGACCATCCCACCAAGGTTCAGTCTTAGTTTCGTGCGCGAGTTTTTTTTGTTTATTTGTTTTCCCCATAATGGTTGACTGAAGTTGGGATCAGAGTCTGCCCGTGCGAAATCGGTTTGCATATCAGTGCCCGAAGTGGCGCCATTTTCCACATTTAAGCGTTCTCTGGTTAGCTGCGGAAGCTCGGCGGAAGGTCTGCGCGAGTTGCCTGTGTGCGTCCTCTTGCCACTTTGTGCAACTTGTTTTAGGTGGTTTTGAGTGCGCAGCCGATCCTTGTGATGGCCAGTGTGGCGGCGGCGACGTCGACGGCGACGTCGGCGGCGACGTCGCCGTCGACGGATGACGACGACGAACATGACACTGGGACCATGAGGAACACTGTTACGGTGGTGGTGCGGATTGCGGTGGTGGTGGTGATGATGGCGACGACAATTTTGGGTGATGCGCATCGGCTCAGGACGTTTCAGATGTGGAAGACCGAGAGGAAATCGCATCCACCATCTCCCCGTTCCCCGCGCGCGCGGCGTCAACGTTCGGGAAGCTCTGTCAGCGACCGCGCTCGGGCTCGGGACCCCTGCAGCCGCGCGAGCCGCCAGTTGAAGGCGGAGGCGAAGTGGACGGGGAGGCGGCGGGGGGTCGGATGCCCAGCGCCTGCCCGCGAGGCCCCGAGCCCCGCCCCGCTCCCTTTCGGTTCGGCCGCCTGCCGCTCCCCAGACGTGTGCCCCCCGAGACAGCCGCGCGCCCTACCTTCGCCGGCGACGTGGGCATCCCTCTGGGGCGCGCGGCGCTGGCTCGGCTGCCCCTGGCGCGACTGTCGGGCTGCGAGAGCGGCTGGACTGCCCCGCGCCGCAGGCCCTCCCCCCTTCGCCCCGCGCCGAGAGGCTCGTGGCCACGAGGGGCCTGCTCGCGCGTCAGCCTGTCGAGCACGGCTTTTCCAGCTCGTCGAGTTTGATTCGGCACCTCCCGAAGAGCTTCCCGCTCTGAGGGCCCCCTGCCGTGTGCAGCCCCAGACCCCCGACGTCATGATTTTTTCATGACGTCGACCCCCAGAGGTCTGGACCCATTCCCCAGGACCGGTTTTTCGTCCTGAGTCGTTGTTTGACGGTCCCGAGGGCCGGTAAGGGCCCCCAGAGGCCAAAAATCAAGAAAAACCTCCCGTCGTGATTTTTTCATGGCTCGAGGGGGTCTGGGGCTTTTCTTCGTGTCCCGTAGTCTTCCCCTTCGCTTCCGCGCGGCGCCATTGGGTTCCGCCCGTGCCCGGGCGCAGCCCGCCCGCCCGCCAACGAAAAAATCAAATCCAACACGTGGCGGAAGAATGGCGTCTTGGGGGCCTCTTGGGGCGCTCCTAGGCGCCTCTTGGGCGCTGCTGGGGGCCTTCATGGGGTCCTCTCGGGCGTTTTGGGAATCCGTTGGGTCATGTTGGGGCCATGCTGAGGGCTCGGAAGCCACTCGGAAACGAAACGGTGAGAAAGCATGGAGGCTTCCTCGCGGGGCTCGACGGGGCAGTTCGGATTGCTGATGGGGTCGTTTCGGGGGCCCTTACAAGTATGTCGGAGGTTCTGCTAAGCCATCTTGAAGTAGCCTGTGCCATCTTGGAGGCCATCATGTGCTCTTTGAGGCCCTCTTGGAACCATCTTGGCCCCAAAGAGGCCCACACGTAAGTAGCACCCGAGCCTCAACATGTTCAGCCCGAGCCACACGTAAGTAGCACCCGAGCCGTAAGTAGCACCCGAGCCTCAGCATGGACAGCTATTGGAAACTAAAAACAGACTCCATGTGCGCGACGTTGGGGCGAGGTGCGCCACGCGTGCCAGGCGCGCCACGTCCGCCAGGTGTGCCAGGCACCCCGGGAGCACAAGCGTGCCAGGCACGCCTGGCGCGCCGGATGCGCCCCGTGCCCCACGTGTGCCACGTGTGCCGCATGGTCCAGCTTCGCCAGGTGCGCCACGTTCGGGGCACGCGCAGAGCATGCTGGGTGCACCCGCGCACGTGGCATCACACATCGGGAAGCATGTCAGCCCACACCATCCTGATCGAAAGCGAATGCACAATCGCGGCGGGGAGTCCATCATGGTGTCTGGCGGGCCTGCACACACCAGAAAATATGCTAGCACCCCTGCCGCCCTTGTCAACACAGAATGGACAATGATCGCGGGGTGGCCGCGCATGATTCAGAATTTTCTGCGAATTGTATGTTGCATTGTTTCTTGGAAAGGATGGTGGCCTTGCGCATAACAGGCAATATGATAGCCGCCCCGCCGTCTCTACCAGAAACAGCGCAAAGTGCTCGCCGAGCCCACGATCATGACAGCATGACCAAAGATTTGACCCTAAAGTGTATGTTGAATTGTTCTTGACAGTGGTGGTGTGTGTCTGTGTGTGTGCATGTGTCTGTGTGTGTGTGTGTGTCAGTGTTTCTGGTTGGCTGCCGGTCTCTTGGGGGAGGGGGCGTTTATTATTAATAGGATCAGTGATAAGCCTTTCCCCCGTGCCATAAGGAAAGAGTTTGTGAAACCGCTTACGCCTAGAGGGCTGTTGGGAGTTCGGAGGTCCGCGAGGAATTTCTTGCACCTGCGCTGGGCTCCCATCCTAAGGGCACGCAAGACCCAGGGGCGACGCCGCCAAGGGTGTCCAGCGCCGAGGCACGAAATCCAACGGGACCTCCGAACGTTCATGCTTTTGCGGTTTTTGATTGCTCTTCTAGTGTGGCTCCCCCCCTTCCTGGCGCGCCCCAGTCGTCGCCGCCACCGCGGGTCGTTGTCGTCGCCAGCGTCGTCGTCGTGGCGTTCGTCAGCGTCTTGAGGTCCGACGTTGCGAAAAAGTGCATCATCGCGAAAAGTTGCGACCATAGCCCTAGACCACACGCTCTTTGTATGCATTTTGCAAAACGGTTCGATCTGGGCTGGTCCCCTGCTTGGCCCGAAATGAGGCATAAGTGCGCGTTGTTAGAACTTGCGTCGCCAGGATCTCAGGGTCCGTGATCGTCGTCGTCATCATCGTCGTCGTGGGCGTCATGGGCGTCGTGGGCGTCGTCGCCGTCGTCGTCGGCGTCAGTGTCGTCGGCGTCGGCGTCGTCGGCGCCGTCGGCGTTGCCGTCCTCGTCGGCGTCGGCGTCGTCGGGGTCGTCGCCGTCGGCATTGTCGTCGTCGTCGGCGGCGGCGGCGTCGGCGTCGTCGTCGTCGGCATCGGTGTCGGCGTCGTCGTCGACGGCGACGACGTCGTCGTCGTCGGCGAAGCCGACAGCCCCGCGCCCAGCGAGGAGCAAGCACGCTGCCGGGAGCCGCGACGAGCGGTCGCGGAGCCGGAGCCGGCGGCGGTGACGCGGCGGAGCGCGCGGGCCAAGGGGAGGAGGGTGGAGGAGGAGGGTGGAGGGTGGAGGAGGAGGAGGAGGAGGAGCAGGATCCGCAACACAAGGAACAGGAGGGGAAGGATGGGGCAGCGGAGAGGGCGGGATGGCGGGGTCCATCAGGAGGAGGGGGGGAGCGCAGACCTCAAGCCGAAGGAGACCCCCGAAGATGGCCCCGATGCCTCCCTTCGGCGGCGAGCGTTTCGGGTTCGAGGTTCGGGCGGTTTCGGGCGTTTCCGCCAGTTCTCGGCGGTTTTCCAGCCTCGGATGCTTGCCAGCAGCTGCGCCTCGCCGAGGGTGTTCCGGGAGTGCCCAGATCGTCCCGAACGGCCGCCGGAGACCCGAGTTATGACCCAAAAGCCAAATTCGGTGGCGAGCGAGGGGGGGAATGAAAAGGACAAGGCCTTCTCAGAGGGCCACGGGACTTCTCAGAAGCCCTCGCGCCCTCTGAGAGGTTCCTTCCGTCGTGGGGGAAGGCGCAGAGAAAATTACTCGGCAGGTTGGGGGGCTTCCGCGCTTCCTGTGAAGGCCTGCCCCTTCCGAGTAAAAACTCGGAGGGCCGCGCGAATTCTTCGGATCGTTGCTGGGCTCCATTGGCGGCCTCTGGCGCCGCCCCTGGCGCGCTCCGCGCGCCAGGGAGGGGGGTCCAGCGCCGATCTGGCGCGGCCCTCAGAGCTGTAAGGTTCAACTGTGCCATTCGTGCCCCTTCCCACTTCCCCCCCCAGGCTCGCGCCGCCGATCCTCAGCCCATCAGCGAGCCCCCTCCCCCTCCCGACGGCCCTCCGAGGGCTTACCCGACAGCCCCTCCTCCCCCCACCGACCCCCGAGGGGGCGCCTGAGAGGGACTCCGAGAGGCCCCGAGGAGCGGGCTCCGACGAGGCCGCCGCCCCTCCTAGGGGACGGCGGCACGCCCGAGCCTTGCTGCCCTCTGGGTCCGAGTGCAGTGGGGGCCCATGCCGAGACACTCCTCGCTTGTGTCCAGGGTGCCCCGGGTTTCTTGGGTTTCGATGGTTTTGCGCTGGAAAGCGTGACGCACCCACACCAGACAGCAGTGGATGCCCTGGGGTCTCAGGGTTGGGTGTCTTGTGGAAGGTTTCTTGTAGGCTGGCCTCCATTGTAGATGAGGTCGGAGGATCGCGTCGCATCGCCGATGCATCGGCGATGCGTCGTCTCGATGCGGGGCCCGATTTCCTCCGCGCCGGCGTCGCCGATGCACCACCGACGTCGCCGGTGCATCGCCGATGCGTCGCCGATGCGTCGCCGATGCATCGGCGATGCATCGGCGATGCGGCGCCATCCTTCGACCCCATCTACGAGGCCTCCATTCCCCGGGCCGCCGATTTTCGGGAGTTCGTCGACGGGGTGGAGCTTGGAAGGTGCACGTGCACCCCGAGGTGCAGCGTGCTGGAAAACTCCAGGCGGAAGGTCTTCGCCGCTCTCGGCCTCCAGGGGCCCCCGCCGGGCGCTGGGGCCGTCAGACGTCGACGCAGGAGGAAAAGCCGGTCCTGGGGAGGAGGAGGATGAGGAGGAGGAGGAGGAGGAGGAAGAGGAGGAGGAGAAGGAGGAGGAGGAGGAGGAGGAGGAGGAGGAGGAGGAGGAGCAGGAGGGGGCGAGACTCGGGGCTCATGAGACGGGGGTCAATGCAACCCGGGGGTAAGCCAGAGCGCCGGATCTGGCAGGATGCTTCAGGGCCGGGGGCGCACTGACCCGGGTTTGGATGCACGATCCTGCAGGACCTTGCAGGATCCTTCGCAATGACACTAGATTGGGTGCAGGATTTTGCAGGATTCTGCAAGGCCTGACTGACCCAGGTCTGGATTGACCCGGGTCAGAAGATCCCCGTGAGACTTCGGGGGACCCCGTGTTGATAAATCAAATCACGACGTCGGATCTCTGGGTATCTGCCGCATCTGTCTCGGCACCAGAGCCTGATGTCATCCATCGGCGTGGGGCTCGAACCTGCTCTGGGAACCAGGGTGCGGAGCAGCGTGATCCAGGGTGCTGCCCGAGCTGGCGAAAAGTCATTGCTGCGCACGAGTGTGGTGACATTCTCGGGAGTTTGTCAGCGGGGGGGGTAACAGGCTTGGGGTGAGGCAGCGTGCGCCTTCCTGACTCTGACTGCGCTTCGCTCGAGGGCTGCAGAGGCTGGTAAAAAAGACGCCACCGGAGAGTCCCACGGGAGGGGATGCGGAGCCCTCAACCGCCAGACCAGGCAGCCGTGTCGCCTGAGACCTCCTCGCAGCTCCTGCAGGAAGCTTGCTCTCGCCTCAAATCGAATCGGGGGATCAACTGCATAATTGACTTACTCCGACAGTGGTTCTCCCTCCAGATACAGAACAAAGGCGTGGAATGGTCGTGGACCTACCGGACATGATAGGCGTGTTGTCTTAGATTCTGCGGGAGCATGAATTTTGGGGGTAAGGCAATTCAGCAGTCAATCCTCTACTCGATCAGTGTGGGCTACACCTCCTGGTCTGGACGGCCACGA